TTACCTCTGCTCTGATCCTATTTCCTTCCTTCTGGTAATTTTGAGGTTGGTTCATTCTTGCTCTTCTAGTTCCTTAAGGTGCATCATTAGATTATTTGAAATCTTTCTATTTTGATGTGTTCATTGCCATAAACCTCCCTCTTAGCACTATCCCTTAGGTTTTGCTATGTTGTGTTTCCATTTTCATGTGTTTCAAGAAATGTTTAATTTCCTCCTTAATTTCTACCCTGACCCCTGTGGTTGCTCAGAAGCATGTGGTTTAGTTTCCATGTAGTTACACAGTTCCTCTTGTTAGTGATTTCTAGTTATATTCCATTATGGTATGAGAAGATACTTGGTATTATTTCCTTTTTTTTTCTAATTTGTGGAGATTTGTTTTGTATGGTCTATCCTGGAGAACGTGCCATGTGCTGATGAGAAGTTGTATTCTGTAGCTGTTGTAGGAAATGTTCTGTAAGTGTCTGTTAGGTCCATTTGGTCTAATGTGCAGTAAAAAAAAAAACAATGTTTCTTTCTTAATTTTCCATCTAGATTATCTGTCCACTGAGATTAAAAGTCAGATGTTAAAATCTTCAACTATGATTACATTGGAATCAATCTTTCCCTTTAGATCTAATGATATTTGCTTCACATATCTAACTACTCTGATGTTAGGTGTGTAGAACTGCTACATCCTCAGACTGATCCTTTCATCATTATATAATGACCTTCTTTGTCTCTTTTTACATTTTCTCAAAAATCTGAAGTGCTTTATCCGACGTAAGCTTAGCTACTCCTGCTCACTTCTGGTTTCCATCTGCATGAAATATGTTTTTCCATCCCTTTCCTTCGGTCCATTTGTGTCTTTATAGATGAGTTTCTAGTAGATAGAAAATGGCTAGGTCGTGTTCATTTATCCACTCGGTTTATATCTTCTAAGTAGAAAGTATAATCCACCTACACTCAGGGCTGTTACTGACATGTGAAGGCTTATTTCTGTCATTTTATTGATTTCTGATTATTGTGTATATCCTTTATTTCTTTATTATTGTTTATCATTGTAGTTTGGTTATATTCTATAGTGGCAGCATTTGAGCTTTTTCTCTTGTGTGTTTGTTTCCTCTACCAATAGTTTTTACGTTTCCATGTGTTTTCATGATGGTAATTATCATTCACTTCCAGGGTATAGGATGACTCCCTTAAGCATTTCTTGTGACCTATTTTCCTGCGTTTTCATGTTTCCTGTCTCTTTACATTGATATCTGTGCAAGCAACGTAACAGTCGCTTCTTCCAACTTTTTGAATTGGCTTTTGTAGGGGAGGATTTTTTCCTGTATCTATGGTGTCAGTTGGGTAGGACACTTTTATTTTGATTTTGGGCACATGCAGTAGTCTGTGTATGGTTTATTCAGCTGTAAACAGTGTCAGTGGTGTCACTGATATCCTCAGTGGCTTAAGGGGCAGTTGTTAGTGGAGACAGTGTTAAATCTTGCTGGGAACTGAAACATCAGGTGAGCCAGTCCTGGGTCCCACTGGTGGCAGCAGTGGGCTAAGTATGCCGGTCCCTGGACTCCAGAGTGGCAGACACTAGCAGTGGTGTTATAAGCAGGTCCACGCAGGCCAAGTCTCAAGCCTCCAGGTGGCTTGCTTGGGTGTCAGAAATGCCAGCAATGGGCTGCGAGAGTTCTTGAGCCCCCAGGCAGTGAGCTGAGCTTGGAACAATACTCTGGGACTTAATTAGTCCACACTGGTACTGGGAATGGCTACAACAGACTGGGCAAGCCAGTCTCCAAACCCACAGACGGTTTGTGTGGGTGAGTGTCAGATGTTGTGGTAGTGGCAAGTCGAGCAGGCCTAACCTCAGACCCCAAAGTGCTCAGGTGCCAACAGTGGTGGACTGGGCTGAGTGATGCCCAGGCCCCGGGACAGTGTGCTGGGGGAAGAGCAGAGCTGGCCATGCAGAGCTGCCCTGGCAGTGCATGCAGGTGCTGGCTGTGGCAGGCAGGGTGGGTTGAGTCCCAGGCTGCCAGCAGACGCTAAGGTGGGTTATCAGCTGCTGTGCTGTGGCCCTGCTTCTGGGAAAATGAGGCTGCTTTCAGCAGGAGCAGTTGTAGGCAGGAAGCTTGGTGGGGATAAGGCTTCGCCCTCTCTGGGCTGGCCTCACAACAGCAGGAGTAGCAGCAGTTGTGGGCAGTGGAATTTATCCTCAGGGTACATGAAAATGAACAGCTGTCCCACTGCTGGGGTGGGGTCACTGCCTATGCCCCCTGCCTCACCTTGCAGAAACAGCTATGAGTAGGAAATGTCTATAGGACCCAAGGGATGTGGAGATCCTCAAAATGGGGCCGCGATGAGGCTGCTTAGGACATGAGGGTTGTGGGACCCGGCACGAGCTCCAGGCAGCTCCCCTGTGTCAGTCTCAGGTCCCATGAGGCTCAAAGGGCTCTTCTGTGGCTAGGATTGCAGGAGTCTGTGTTGGGAATGTGGATTACTGGGGGTGTCTCTCATCCTTGCATTAAGGCTCTTCTCCAGACTCTCAGACAATCCTGGCTGAACCTCCACTTTTTATGTTGTTGCTTTTATTGAGTATATTTTTGGGGGTAGAAACAAGGTCTCACTATGTTGCCCAGGCTGGTCTCAAATGCCTGGGCTCAAGCAACCCTCCAGCCTCAGCCTCCCAAAGTGCTGAGATTACAGGCATGAGGCACCATATCTGGCCTTGAGTACTTATTAGTAACTTTGCCTAAAGGAGACTGATCTACATAATGACTGAATTCCATTGTTAGAAGGGGGGGAAATGACAGAAACATTTAAATTTCTCTCATGGCAAAATACACAAAAATATACACTTCTAAAATATAACTAGCTGTCATAATGAGCTCTACTGATTTCCACTGACATATTGCCAGACTCAAAAGATTTAGATACCATAATACAAGTTCACAGAGAACTAAGATTAGAACCCATGTTGTTTGTCTCCAGGTCCCAAATAAGAAGCAAAAGAAAAGTAGAGGTAAGCAGGAATGCAAATTTTCTAAATACATAGGAATATCTTAGTTAAGGAAACTGAAACTGTATTGTGTAACTTAACGGCCCCAAGCTCAATATTTACATATATGATTAATGTGTGTGATGAGTCTGTGTGGATAATGTGTTTATGTGAATGTGTCTGTGTACACACATACACAGATTTATATACATATATTTTTTCATAATAGACAACCTCAATCCACGAAGAAAAGATAGCAGTAGTATCTACTTCAGAGTTGTTGTGAGATTTAAGTGAAGCCCTTACTCTGTGCCAAGCACTGTTCTACATGTTTTATATGCACTAATTTTTTTTTTTTAAGATGAGGGAACTGAAACATGAAGAGATTATATAACTTGCCCACAAAGTTATAAGTGGCAAACTGGGATTCAAACTCAGACTATCTGGCTTTTATGCCCAAGTTCTTAGTACACTGCCTAGGAAATATCTAACCCTCTATAAACTTTAGCTATAACTTTAAATATAACTATTGATAATGAAAGTAAAAATTAAAAGTTTTTAGTTAGCTAAGATAAAATATGAACAAACAACTCAACTGCACTGAAAAAAGTGATGAATAATAGGTTTTTAAAACTCCATATTAGCCTTGCACACAGTGGGCACTAATACTCAAAGTACTAATATAGCATATAATAACAGACTATCAAAAGTATAAAACAGTAACAAAGATTGGTGTTGTGGGTTGAATTGTGTCCTATAAAAAGCTGAAGTGTGGCGTCCTTCTAAGAGGAAAATGTGCACAGACACACAGAGAGAATATCACATGACCAAGAGGCAGACACTGGAATGACACAGTTGCAAGGCAAGGAACCCCAAGGACTGCAGGCAGCCTCCAGACGCTAGGAGGGAGGCATGGAAAACACTCTCCTTCCACGGCTTTCGGAAGAAACCCACCTGGCCAGCACCCTGAATTCAAACTTCTAGCCTCCAGAACTGTGAGAGAATAAACATCTGTTGTCTTAAGTCACTCAGTCCTGTGGTAATTTGTCACAGCAGCCTTAAAACTAACACAGCTGGCATATGTCAGGATAATGTGAAAAACTACGTTTCATTCACTCTTTAAAAACTACCTGATAGGCATATAAATTGGTGCAGTCACTCCGGAAAACAGTTTGGCAGTTTCTTGTAGAACTAAACATGTACTTACCATATGACCTAGCAAGTCACACACTTGGGCATTTATTCCAGAAAAATCAAAGTTTATGTTCACACGAAAATGTGAAAAATCTAAACATGAAAACACAGCAGCTTTATTCATGATATCCCACAAACAGAACCAAACTGTCCTTTAATGGGAGAACAGTTAAACTCTGATATAGCCATACAATTTAATATTATACAAAAAAATTTTCAAAAGATTTTGTTGATATATGCAACAACGTGAACACATCTCAAGGGTATTATGCTTAGTGAAAAAAGCCCGTCCTGAAATATCACATACTATTCTATTCCATTTATATAAAATTCTCAAGGTGACAAAACCACAAATGGGGAACAGATTAGTAGCTGCCAGGGTCCAAGGACAGGGGTAGGGAGAGAATCCAACTATAAGGGGGTAGCATGAGGGAGTTCCCTGTAGAGATGGAACAGCTCTGTAACTACCACCGTGAATTTACACATGGGATCAAACTGCATAAACACACATACACACACACACACACACACACATACACACACACACACACACACACACACACACACACACACACGTATGTATATAAAAAACTAAGTAAGGACTGCAATCTAGGTAACAGTACTGCACCAATATCAATTTCCTGTTTTTGATATTGTACAATTACATAAAATGTCACATTGCAAGAAGCGGAGGAAGAGTTCATAGAATTCCATTCACAATTATTGCAACTTCCTCTGAGTCTATCAATTCTTTCAAACTAAAATGGATCTGTTTAAAAAGCCACATGAAGAACAAAAGTAATAAAGTACATCAGTAGCAAAAAGTTTTGTTTCTTACCTTCAGACTCTTTAGATAATTGGAGAGCATACTGGGGTGGAATCGGTTTTCTTCAGCAACTTGACTGTCATATCTTGGTCCTAACATTGTCTTCAGAGGTAAGAATCTTCCTAAACAACATGAAAATGGGTAATAATTTCATTAAAGAAAATGCTCCAAATTAAAGTCCTATAATCAGCAATCCTTTATTTTTTCTTTTCGAGTCAGAGTCTCACCCAGACTGGAGTGCAGTGGCATAATCATGGCTCACCTCAGCCTCCACCTGTGATCTGACTGTTCCAGGAATACACATAGTTCGACTAGAACTCCTGCGTCTGGGGAGTGCTTTGTGAGAGAAACTAGTATTAGAGGCATACCTTGTTTTATTGCACTTCACTTCATGGCACTTTTCAGATACTGAATTTTTTACAAATGAAGGCCCGTGGCAGCCCCGTGTTAACCAAATCTATGGGCATCATTAATCCAACAGCACGTGCTCACTTCATGCCTCGTTCACATTTGGTAATTCTCACAACATTTCAAACTTTTCCATTATTGTATTTGTTACGGGGATCTGTGACCAGCGATCTTCAATGTCACTGCTGCCACTGTTGTGGTGCCACAAATCACGACGTCTAAGATGGCAAACTTGACCAGCAGCGTGTGTTCTGACTGTTCCAGCAAGCAGAGACTCCCGGCCTCTCTCCCTCTCCTCCAGTCTCCCTATTCTCTGAGACGCCACTGAAGTGAGGCCAACTGGTAACCTTAACAGGACAGCTCGGGCGCGGTGGCTCAGCCTGTCATCCCAGCGCTTTGGGAGGCCGAGGCGAGGGGTTTGCCTGAGCCCAAGGGCTCGAGACCAGCCCAGGCAACTTGGCGAGACCTCGTCTCTACCATAAATCAAAAATTAGCCAGGCATGGTAGCATACGCCTGCAGTTCCAGATACTTGGAAGGTTGAGGCAGAAGGATCGCAGGGGCCCAGCAGGTCAACACTGAAGTGGCCATGAACGTGCCACTGCACTCCAGCTTGGGTGACAAAGTGAGACTCCAACTCAAAAAAAAAAACAAAAATAAAAATGACCCTGTGACAGTCTCTAAGTGTTCAAGTGACAGGAAGTGTCGTACATCTCTTCTTCAAACCAAAAGCTAGAAATGATTCAGCTCTGTGCAGAAGACACATCAAAAGCCCAGACAGGCTGAAAGCTAGGCCTCTGGTGCAGTTAGCCAAAGCGTGAAGGAAAAGTCTTTGGAGGAAATCAAAAGTGCCACCCCAGTAAACACACAAACGGTAAGAAAGCAAAACAGCCTTACAGCTCATACGGAGAAAGCTTTAGCAGCCAGGAGAGAAGACCGAACCAGCAACGACATTCCCTGAAGCCCAAACCACGCCCAGAGCAAGGCCCTGACTCCCCTCCACTCCATGAAGACAGGGGGACGCGAGGAGGCTGCACCCGACGCAGAAGCCAGCACCGCCCACACCACCCAAGAGGGGCGAGGAAGAAGCCCTCTCCCCAACATGAAAGGGCGAGGGGAGGCAGCAGGTACTGATGGAGAAGCTTCTGCAGGTTCTGAAGAGCTGAAACGACTGACAGAAGGGGCTACACTGAACAGCAGACTCTCAGCACAGACACAGCAGTCTTCGACTGAAAGATGCCGCCAAGGCCCTTCACAGCTAGAGAGAAGGCAACGTCCGGCTTCAAAGCTTCAAAGGACAAGTCGACTCTTGTTAGATAGGCCAAGGCAGCTGGTGACTTTACGCTGAAGTCAGGACTCCTTTACCATTCTGAAAATGCCGAGGCCCTGAAGCATTATGCGACATCTACTCTCCTTATGCACTATAAATGAGTAACAGAGTCTAGATGGCAGCATATCTGCTTGCAGTATGGTTTACTGAATGTTTTAAGTCCAGTATCGAAACCTACTGCTCAGAAGAAGATTCCTTTCAAAATATCACTGGACGCTGACAACACGTCTACACATTCAAGAACTCTGATGGAGACATAAAAGGAGATTAAGGATGGTTTCATGCCTACTAACACAGCATTCATTCTTCAGCCCACAGACCAAGGAGTAATTTCAACTTTCAAGTCTTACAATTTAAGAAATACATATTTTTGAGGCTATGGCCACCACAGACAGTAATTCCTCTGAGGTATCTGGGCAAAGTAAATTGAAAACTCTCTGGGGAAGATTCATCATTCTAAATGCCATTAAAAACATTCAAGACAGGGTATGGTAGTGGCTCACACCTGTAATCCCAGTACTCTAGGAGGCCAAGGCAGGATGACTGCTCACACCTATAATCCCAGTACTCTAAGAGGCCAAGGCAGGATGACTGCTTAAGCCCAGGAGTTCAAGACAAGCCTAAGCAACATAGCGAGACCCCATCTCTACGCAAAAATCAAAAAATTAGCCAGGTACAGTGGCACACACCTGCAGTCCTAGGCCTCTACTCAGGAGGCTGAGGTGAAAGGATCACCTGAGCCCAGAAGTTGAGGCTACAGTAAACTGTGATAATGTCACTGCACTCCAGCCTGGATGACAGAGTGAGATCCCAACTCAAAAAAAAAGAACATTCATACTTCACAAAGTCAAAATAGCAACCTTAACAAGAGCTTGGAAGAAACAATTACAACCCTGACGGGTCACTTTAAGGGCTCAAGACTTCATGGAGGGGGAACTGCAGATGTGGTGGAGATAGCAGGATGATTGGAAGTGGGTCCTGAGCTGGGCGCGGTGGCTCAGCCTGCAATCCCAGCACTCTGGGAGGCCGAGGCGAGAGGATGGCCTGAGCCCCAGGGTTCAAGACCAGCCCAGGCAACTTGGCGAGACCTCGTCTCTACCATAAACCAAAAAAAAGCAATGGAACATGAAGATGTGACTGCATCTTTGAAGAACTGCTGCAATCTCATGATAAAACTTTAACTCATGGATAAGCAGAGCAGCTTCTTGATACGGAATCTGCTACTGGTAAAGATGGGGTGAACATCGCTAAATAACAACAAACAGGCTGGGTTCGGGAGCTCAGCCTGTCATCCCAGCACTGTGGGAGGTCCAGGCGAGTGGACTACCTGCGCCCGCAAGTTCAGGACTGCCCAGACAATTTGGCGAGATCTCGTCTCTACCATAAATCAAAAATTAGCCAGGCATGTAGCGTGCACCTGTAGTTCCAGCTACTTGGAAGGCTGAGGTGGATGGATCACCAGAGCCCAGCAGGTCGACACTGGAGTGGCCATGAGTACACCACTGCACTCCAGCCTGGGTGACAGAGTGAGACTCCAACTCAAAAAAAAAAGAAATTTACAACAAAACATTAAAAATATTACATAAACTTAGTTGATAAAGTGGTGGGGTTGGAGAGGATTGACTCCTATTTTGAAGAAAGTTCTACCACGTGAAAAATGCTATCAAACAGCATCGCATACCATAGAGAAACCTTTCATGAAAGGAAGCGTCAATCAATGCAGCAAACTTCACTGCTATCTGGGTTTAAGAAATCGCAACAGGCCAAGCTCAGTGGCTCAGCCTGTAATTCCAGCACTTTGGGAGGTAGAGGTGAGTGGACTGTCTGAGCCCAGTGGTTCAAGACCAGCCTTGGCAACTTGGCAAAACCTCATCTCTACAATGAATCAAAAAATTAGCCAGGTATAGTGGCACACACCTGTGGTCCAGTTACTTAGAAAGCTGAAGTGAAAGGATTGCCTACGCCCAGCAGATAGAGGCTGCAGTAGCTGTGAGGGTGCCACTGCACTCAGGCCTAAACGATTGAGTGAGACTCCAACTCAAATATATATATCTCCTCCAACCTGCTTCTCTCCCAAGGGAGCTCCAATACCAATCATCTCACTGCATAAGCAAGAAACACAGGACTCTGTTTTGACTCCGTCATTCTAAAGACAACACCAAGTTCTATCCATTTTCCCTCCTGTTTTTTAAAATTATTTTTTCTTTTTTATTTAAATTACAGATAGGGTATCATTATGTTGCCCAGGTTGGACTCAAACTCCTGGCCTCAGGCAAGGAGACTGGACTCCCACCTCAGTCTCCCAAGTAGCTGGGCCTACAAGTGCACATCACCACATCTGGCTTTTCTTTTCTTTCTTTTTTTTTTAATTTTCTATAGAGACAGAGTTTCACTATGTTGCCCAAGCTAGTCTCCAACTCCTGTGCTCAAGCAATCCTTCTGCCGGGCTCCCAAAGCACTGGGATTACAGGCACGAGCCACTGCATCCAGCACCATTTTCCCTTTTTAGTAACTCTCAAGTCAGCCTCCTACTCTTCACCTCCTAACATTGTTTTCACCTGGACTACCACAAGTTTCCAACTGGTCTCTCCATTTCCACTCTGTCTCCTTCAATTCATCAAACACAGAACAATGTAAGCTTTATTTTACACTCAAGTCAAATCACTCATCCCAATGGTCTGCCAGTACACACTAAAAGTGTATGACTATTAAGGCTGGGCATGGTGGCTCACAATTATAATCCCAGCACTTTGGGGGGCCACGAAAGGAGGACTGCTTGAGTTCAGGAGTTTCAGACCAGGCAACACAACATAGTAAGACCTGATCTCTACAAAAAATTTTCAAAAAATTTTCAAAGCCAGGCACGGTGGTGCATGCCTATAGTCCCAGCAATTTGAGAAGCTGAGGTAGAAGGATTGCCTGAGCTGAGGCTGAGACCGTGGTGAGCTACTGCACTCTAGCCTGGGCGACAGAGTGAAACCCTGACTCAAAAAAAAAAAGTAGCTGGGTGTGGTGGCTCAAGCCTGTAATTCCACACTTGGGAAGGAAGAGGCAAGAGGACTGCCTGAGCCCAGGGGTTCGAGACCAGCTTGAGCAACACGGCGAGACCTCATCTCTACAATAAATCAAAAGATTACTTGGGCATGGTGGTACATACCTGTAGTCCTGCTGCTTGGAAGGCTGAGGCGGAAGGATCGCCCAAGCCCTGGGCAAGGCTGTGGTGAGCCCTGATCGTGCCACTGCACTCCAGCAGACAGAGTGAGATCTGACTCAAAAAAAAAAAAAAAAGGGCACAGATTCCGCCTTGCCCCTCCACTTGCCTGTGTGACCCGGCTCGGACTCCAGAACGCAGACACTTCAGTCCAGGATTGCCCCCATCATC